ATAATTATAAATTTCTATTTCAAAAATAAACAAAAACACCTCAATTTGTTCACTTAGAGAAATGTGGAAGTCTAAAACGCAGCACTTTTTGTGGTTTGTCTGAAACTTGTTTTGTTAAAGGATTTTCCTTTGTTTTTTCCATTTGTTTCGTTTCTTTTCTGCTCTTTTTCAACTCCAATTGTTTTGGTGTTAAAATGGTCTTTCTCTTTTCCTTTCTCAATGGGAATGGTTCAACAACGAAAGATTAAAAGATTTCAACAAATGATGGATTTTCAGTGATTCTGTGACACTTTAAAAGATTGACATTGTAGTTAATTCATTAAACTCTGGCATTTTAACCATATACATCATGAATATATATTGAAATACAGTTTTTAAACTGGTTTCTTGTATTTAAATTGCTTTTTTTGTGTTGATTGCCTGTGGTTGTTTCATCGAGGGTTCCTTACTCTTCTTCTTCCATTGTTTTCAAAGATTGAATAATATCAAAAATAAAAAGTTATGGTTTTCTTTTATTATCTTCAAAGTAGTTAATTGAAAAAACCCTTCTAATACTTTTATGGTTAAAGAAATTATATTTTATAGTTTTTTACTCAAATTAACTACTTCTGTCCCAAATTAACCCCCTTTATCACCCGACTATAATTGTTTTTTTTTCATATTTTTATTTTATTAAAGAGAAAGGACGGACATGGGGCCGAAGGACGGGAATATAGGCCGAAGGACGTCCTTTGTGGTTTAGGGATGTCCTCCCGCTATAAAGGGCGTCCTTTATGTGTATATGGTGTCCTTTCTATTATTTTCATGTCCGCGGCATTTTTAATAACTATATAATGAGTTATAATATTACTATGAATTTACTATTATAAAATATAATTATTTCCAAAAATAAATAAATTCAAAGACAAATGTTAAACAACAAGTAATTTCGTTATAAATTAATGGTTTTTATAAAATATGCAAATTTAATTAGTTTTTCAAAGAAAACTCAATGGTAAAATGAAAAAAAATGATAAATTATTATAAACCATTAATATATAACAAAATTACTTTTTAAATAGTTTTTGTCTTTGAATTAATTTATTTTTGGAAATAATTATATTTTTTGATTGTATATTTATAATAAAAATATACTTTGTTATATAGTTTCGATAATGAATAAAAAATGCCGCGGACACGAAAATAATAGAAAGGACACCATATACACATAAAGGACGCCCTTTATAGCGGGAGGACATCCCTAAACCACAAAGGACGTCCTTCGGCCTATATTCCCGTCCTTCGGCCCCATGTCCATCCTTTCTCTTAATTATAAATATATAATTTAATTTAATTTTTATTTCATTATATTTTTATTTTTTTTAATATATTTGTTATTTTTTATATTATTAAGGAGATACAGATCCAAGAAAAAAGTGCCGTCAAAGAAAAAGGAACCTGCGAACAAATTCTATATTATAATATTTTAATATTAAAATAAAAACAATAAAAATGTAATTTTTCGACATTATTCTAATGTTTTTCATGATTTTTAACTTCAAAGTGTTGGTAGATTCACTATCTTTAATATTAATGATCACCAGTGAAAACAGAGTAACTGATTTGAACGTACAATCAATTCAAACACCACCACAACAGGCAAACCCATTTGTTCCACAAAACCCATTTGTTGCCGATACTCCTGATTTGAATATCGTTGATGACGACAAAACTGTAATGGATTTTTTTGCAACTGATTCAATCTGGAATAATACCAGTTGACTGTGAGTTGATTTCACTAAAAAGGTTTTCCATAACACAAGACGAAATGATTCACAATTTGCAAACTCCACATTACAAAGATAAACTCAATGAATCATTAGTATTGTTCAAATCTATAAAAAAAGATGCTTCTGTTTTTCAGTCAGTTTTTTTAAGACATCAGATATATACAATTAAAACCAACTTCAATGCAGTCGACAGAACTGTTGCAAACTTATTTGACCTTTCATATGGTACAATCGGAGACCACTATAAAGAAGCTAAAAAGGAAATTATCTCGACCAGATGTCAAATTGGCAGAAAGAGTGTGTTTTATGACACCACAATTTGCGCTGTTAAATTTTTTCTTGAGTATTGTTCCGGGAAACGTTATGCTGTTACAGTATCTGCAGTACTTTTCATAGTCAATAAATTACAACCACAGACGTCAATTTCAAGAGACACTGTGTCACATTGGTTAAAAAATAAATTTAACCTCAAATTGATCAAAGCGATACCTGAAGACATCGGAAGAATA